ATCGCGTCTTCAGTATTACATTAATCCAGTTGTCGACTTCTATATGATTGACTACGAAAAATAGTGTTTAAGCCTGATTTTTATAGATACTCTTGTCTTTAAATACAGTAACTACCGCTCATATAGGTTTATCAGTTATATATTATAAAATGATTTTTATATAGTAAGTGTTGGAGTTTACCTAGATTTGGTCATTTATTTAGCAGCACTCCCTATGTTCTCTTTCTTCAGCTGCTTTCTATGCTAGCTCAGAGCAAAAACCAATTGCCATCCCTTATGGTAGTGGACTGCAAGCTCGTTAATCTGCAGCAGGGCTCGAAGGTAGTGAGCCCTACCAGCGTATACTTCAGTGCCGTAGGCAACATCAGCTTGGTTGTAGACCAAGAAGTCATCAACGCCACGGGCTTGAGCTTCACAGCCGACGGAGTCGCTCAGTTCCTTCGGTGGCAGATAAATGAAGGTAGCTTGTTGCCTAGGGACAAGTACAGGTATCACTTCAAACAATCGGACTTGCGAGAAACTAGTAAGTTGGAGGAACTTATGAGATAGCGCCAAGTTCACTGCCAGAAATGCGACTAGGTTAATTATTAATTATAGTTGTACCTAGTTTCGGTCTCCTCTATGATAACTTATATGTATCTCTTTGGAGAGAGACATTTTTATAAGGGTATTTTCTACCGTGGAGACAAAATGAAATACCATAACGTCAATCTGATAAGTCAAAAAACCATAGATATAGCCTTGCGCCCTACTTTTGAGGTTACAAGAAATCCGGTTATACCAAGAGAAATAAGAGATGTATTCACCATATTTCTTTTAAGGTGATGAATACCTGGAAGTATTATTTTCCCACAATGATATGAATAGAGCTGACGTTTCCATTAAATTTCACACAGACTTGCTTTCTCAAAAGTTGTTCTCATCAAGGGTGGACTGCAGTTTCGAGCTTACATCGGTCTTATCCACACCCCTAGCGGGAGTCGAACCGTGACAGTACAGAATGTGAGCTTAAAACGAGTGCCTTTATGTCACAGGGCAGATGTGAATTTTAAGGAAGGCCAAGCCTTTTCCCATATAAGATTCTTTGGTGGGATTGTCGTTGAAGTAAACGTGTATTTGCTATAACAATCGACTACGTTACTAGTTTTTCGTATGTAAGTAGAGTTTCAAGACTACCAGTAAATAAGTAATATGATATGTATTCACCCTATTTCGTTTAAAGTGATGTAAGACTGGTAGTAGAATTTTCCCACAATGCTATGATTAGAGCTGACGTTTTCATTGCATTTCACATAGTCTTCTTCTCTTTCAGGGTGGACGGCAGTTTTGACCTCGCATAGGTCTTATCAATACCCCCAGCGGAAGTCGAACCGTGAC